AATGAGAAGCAGTACTAGCACAACACGTTGAATTACTACTGCACAGGAGTACTGGCATAAGAGGACAGTGCTTTGATGCCCCCTCCGTCCCAACGTGACACTCCTACTTCCCTGACATTTAACGTCACTGGCTATGATTGGCCATGAACGAATTTAATCGCACTGGCATGTTTGTTTCGAATTTTCCCGCATTCGTCTAATTTTTTTTCGGGGGATTTTTCTGCTCATTTTTGCGTAGTTCAATTTTGCTCATGTTTTTTTAGTGAATTTCTAACGATTCCTTATAGTGTTAATTAAGCGAAGCAGCACGGCGATAACCACGTGAAATCTCTGGCTGATCCTCGTTGCCTGCCCGATCGCTTCAGTTCCATAATGATCAGTGCGGGAAATCGCATATGTGCAAATTTTAGTCTAAATTTTTCGAGGAATTTGTTTTCCGTTGTTTCAGGCAATTGAAGACAAGTGAGGTTAAAAATATCACCCGAATGGGAATAACGGTGTTCTTCTCCCTACCAACGCCGCATGAAGCGGCCGCCGCAGTGCAAGTATTCAATGGCTTTGCAATGAAAGGACGAGTTTTGCGAGCAAAAATAGCTGGGCCAAAACCACGCGAAATTGTGAGTTATCCAGGCAGTGTGGCTTTGTCCGCTTACCCGTTATGTGTTTCGAATCTTTCACATTTTCATGATTTCATAGAATTATTCAAGCAGATGCTTCCACTGCACCGGTGGCCTACCTCTTAACATTGCATAGACAGCATCTGGTAACCCATTTTGTTCATTTTCGTTTCTAGTTCTTGCCACATGATGGCCTGCGGTTGCTGCCGGAACAGTCTTGGACGTTTATAAAAATCGGTGGAAATCAATTGAGTTGTTGGGTTATCACGAGTAGCAACTTTCTACGAAATTCAGCTTTTTGTTGTTGTCGCATCCACGTTGATCTGTACGTTTTTAGAATACTGCATACGTACAGGAATCGGGTGGCGAGCAAGTGAGACAGACAGCTCGGGAACGCGTGACGCCTTTGGCTGATAAGCCATACAGTGAGCAGCTCGAAATCAAAATGAACGACCTAAAACGAACAGCAGCAAATTTTGTCAAGGGTATGATAGACGCACGTGTTCAGGGTGCCAACGAAATCAACATTGATGAACTCATTGAGCCGGTAATTAAATATTAATAGCTTTTTTTGAAAAATTTTATTCTCTTTTCGGGAATTTCGGGCTATTTTTTCTCGAAGACTTTTGTGTGTGTGTGTTTTTTTTTTTTTTTTTTGAGAATATTCCTCCTGTTTTTCATCTTCCAGGATTCAATCCAGAAAAGCTTCTGAGAACCCGTATTACATGTGTTTTTATCCCCCTTCTAGAAAACATAAGGAGGGGGGGAGTAGGTTTTCGGTTTCCATCCCTCTTGAAGATGAAAGTGAATGTATGCAGTTGGCTACAGCTGAGGGAGTGGATGAGCCGAAAAACTGTATATGGAGAGCAGTGCCTTGCAAATTTCGGGAAAGCATTTGTCGGAAGCCACGGAGTTCGTGTATATCAGCCACAGTCTTCGGTAAGGGGTTGTACTGTCAGAGGAATTTGTTGGGGCAGATTTGAATCTGTTGGTGCTTTGGTTTTGGTGAAGCACGTATGGCTTTTGTTTTTGCCTTGTGTTGATTTGATGTTTGGGTTTCATACCGGATGATTGACTTGGCCTGTTGAAGGAGCATTGAAAATTGGCTTGAAGGCAGTTTATTTTATTGTGATTTCGGTTGTTTTTGGCTTGGTTAATTTGCTTTTGTCGGTGGTAACATTGTTAGCCTGCTGGGAACTACCGACCGATAGTTAGTGTTTTTTTCAAGCACTCTTTTGGTGCTGCGTAGGGAGACTTATTAACGATCTTATCTGCAGTGGTTGCTCTATGAAAAGCTCATTCTCCCAAAAAGTGTGGGCGTGGGAACGGGAGAGAGGGAGGGGCGCAGAGGGGGGGGGGGTTGTCGTTTTTTTGGATTTAGTTCGAACTCATTTCTTTTCTACAGCAGATGACGCCCTGGTAAAACACGACCAGAAAAAAGCTACTGTCTTTCATAACGCTGCTGACGGTTTCTTTACATTGCTGCGTTTTTAGGAAACGATTATGATTAGCGAATTTTAGATTCGTCCTTCGCCTCGTGTCACAGCATATCGAAATAAATGTGAATTTACGATTGGCAGAGATATTGATGAGAACGTCTGCGTTGGTTTTGTCGGCGGTCGTTTCAGTCAGAATCAGCATTATGTGGTACCAGTGGATTCTTGTGACAACATTTCATCGCATATGAAGCGAGTTGTCAAAGCTTTTGAACGATTTGTTATCGAAACCGGTGAAGCGGTATGTTCTGTTGTCGTTTTCCAGTTCTCTCCCGCATCCGTAGCACCCCTTTTTTCAAACTATCTAAAAGATGCAAAAATATACATTTTTCTTGCTTCTTTGCCAACAGCAACCAGTAGCTAGCAGTGCCAGAGATGGATTACTTATTCGTAAGGTTGACGAATCAAAGATAATATCGCCCGCTGACTCTATGGGTTCAGAATCGACATGAAGCAGAGACGATTTTCCCAGCGGCAGGTCTCTCGCTGTAAATTTTCCCGGTACTGTAATAAGAATAATTTACCATTCTAAAAGCTTTTACAAAAGGGATGTTGGAAAAGGTATTACGAAAAAGATAATTGAAAATTCTGTAAAATTGAGGGGAGGTAAGAAAATTGATTTTTGGTGGAAGTTATGGGTTCCAAGCGAACCATTGGCAGCCTTACCAGCGAGTGATTGCTGTTGGCATTTGCTACCCACGGGTTACTTCACAAAGTACCTCTGCCTCACGCACAACACGAATACGGAGGGGGTTTTAACTTAAAAGTATAAAACGTCGTTGTCATTTTTTCAGCCTTTCAACGAATTCAAACGTGAAGGCTTTTGGAAAATGCTTTGTATTCGTGAGCTTGGCTGTGACATGATGATGATTGTGACGGTGTTCCCAACCGAGGACAGTGAGCGTGAAAAGGAACTAATCAGACTGGTGGAGGAGCGATTTCTTGACTTGAATAATTTCTTCGATGAAAACAGTCGCTTTCGGGTTACCTCACTCTACTGGCAGCGTTTGGCCAATGCCAGTGACCCTCCTGTTTATGAACACATTGCAGGTAGAGAACTTCTGTATTTCACTACATATAAATAACGCAACTCGTG